ACCCCCTTTCCCAGCACCCCCATCCCAGTCGAGCCAAGGGCTCGCTGGGTGCTGGGGGCCACGGCTGGACAGGGGATGCCCCCTCGGCACCAGGGTCACCCCATCACTATCTCAAGCCCACAGAGGCACAGCTGGACCCCAAACCACTGGGGCCCGATCCTGGCAATGCCAATCTAGTGCCAGATCCAAGGGGATGGGGGGGACCTGGCAGGGGATGGGGCCGGGGACAGAGGCGACACATCCCGAGGGGCTGGTGAGGGCAGGAGCACCCCAACGACCACCTTTATTAGAGACCAAAGCCCCAAATCGAGGATCGCGGTGGCACCGTCAGCATTGGGGTCATGGTGGCGGTGAGGGGACATGGAGTGGGGGGCCAGCCCCGGCCACCCCGGCCCAGCCCCACACACACCAGGAGTGCTGGTGGGGGGTGGCTGCGCCTCCCACCCGTGTCCCCATGCTGCGGTAGGGGGGCGTGGGACGGCCTGGTCCCCACTGTCCCTGGGCCAGCCAGGCTGTGCCCCCCTCCCGGGGTGTGTGGGGGGGTGTCCACGCTTACACTTGTGTGACGATCTCGCCGTTCTCAGGCACGTAGACCTGCACGGGCACGCCATCCGGGGAGCGCCGCAGGACGTGAATCGGGGGCACCTGCATGGGAGAAGGAGCCCATGGGTGCCGGCCCCCCTCCCCGCACCAGGGCAGCACCCCGGGGTGCACATCCCAGGGCAGGGGTTGCCGGGGGCTGTTTGCAGGGACACAGCTGCAGGTCCCGACTGTCCCTTCACACCGTGCCGGTGTGCTAAGGTCTATGGCATGCACCCATCCCGGTGGGACCCCCCAGGTGGAGGGGACGGAGCCAGCCCCCAAAATGTCTGCAGGGACCCCCCTGCCCAGGGACACCCTGCTCCTGCCGCAGGGACCCGCGTGGGAGCCTGGGTCCTGCTCGTAGGACCCTGGGTGTGACCGGAGGGACCCGCATGGGCCCCCAGTCCTGCCCCAAGGACCCCCTTAGGATCCCACACCTGCCCCAGGGACCCTCATGGGACCCCAAGCCCAGCCTGTGGCACCCCGGACCTGCCTAGAGGGACCCTCAGAAGGTCCCCATCCTGCCCCAAAGGACCTTCAGGGACCTTGGTCCTGTGGCCAACACCCTCACAAGACCCTGGTCCTGGCTGTGGGACCACCTCAGGACCCCAATCCTGCCCTAGGGACCCCCTTAGGACCTGGTCCTGTCCCACGGGACCTTCACCCGTCCTATTGCAGGGACCCTTAGGGGTCCCCAGTCCTGCCCCAAGGGACCCTCACGGGACCCAAATTCCCCCGCGATCCCCTCAGGACCCCAATCCTCCCTGTGGGACCCACTCAGGACCCTGGTCTTGCCCCAGGGGCCCCCTTAGGATCCTGCACCTGCCCCAGGGACCCTCATGGGACCCCAGGCTTGGCCTGTGGGACCCTGGACCTGCCCAGAGGGACCCTCAGAGGGTCCCTATCCTGCCCCAAAGGACATTGAAGGACCTTGGTCCCATCCCCAAGACCCTTCTGAGACCATGGTCCTGCCCCAGGGACCTGTCATTGGACCTCAATTTTTCCCCATGGTGAATTTTTCACCATTTCCCACTCCTGCTCTGGGGAAACTCATGGGACCCCAGCAGAGCCACTTGTCCCTGAAACACCTCAGGGTGACAACTCATGTCGCTCAGTCACCCTGAGGGCAGCACCCAGGGGATCCCCATATGGGGACGAGGACCACCGTGCCCCCCACCCTCCCATGTCCCCACTCCTGTCCCTGTACTGGCCGGACCCCATGCCCTACCTGAGCCCGCGGCAGGACTCCACGGGTGATGGGCACGTCCCTGGTGGTCCCACCACGGGGTCCCCGAAAGGCCCCTTGCCGGTCAAGGGAGTGGGGACGGGCACCCCGCAGCCGGGCGCGCTGGTGCCATGACTTGAGCTCCTCGGTCACGGCCGCCTTGGAGAGCCCCCGGCCGCCTGCCGGCGCGTAGTCCTTGAGCGAGGGGGTGCGCACGATGCGGCTGTGCGAGGGCACCAGGCGTTGGTAGCGTAACGGAGCCAGATCCTGCTCGTAGAGGAAAGCTGGGGGGCCGGTGGGTGGCAGGAACCGGTGGGCACCCCGGGGGTAGTAACCAGGTTCGGCGAGGGGCGGTGGGACTGGGGGGCGCGGGAAGGAGACGTCAGGGCTGCTGCTGCCTGGGGAGGTGGCGTGGGAGATGCTGGAGAGGTCGGAGATGCTGTCGTCGGAGCCGGAGTGGTGCGTGGGGCTGGGGTTCGGGATGCAGGAGGTGGGCACCGTCACTGTGTAGTACGTGGGGCGCCGGCGGGGTACAGCGCTGCGGCCCCGTGGCTCACCAGGCTGCCAGCACGCTTCCACCCTGTGGGCAGGAGGGCTGCGGCTGCAGACAGACCCTTCCTCTCGCTGCCCGCCCAAAAGTCAGGGCAAGCCAGGAAAAGGGTGGCCAAGGGGTGCGGGGGGCTGAGCACTCCATGGGTGCAGGGTGCAGCCTCCCCACGGGGTTAGCTCCAGCTTCCTCCCCATGGGATTAGCTCCATCCTCCTTCCCATGGATTTATGTCCATCCTCCACATAGGGTTATCTCCAACCTCCTCCCCACGGGGTTGCCTCCATCCTCCCCATAGGATTAGTTCCATCCTCCCCATAAGGTTGTCTCCATCCTACCCATAGGGTTAGTTCCATCCTACCCATAGGGTTAGTTCCATCCTCCTCCCCATGGCTTTAGCTCCATCCTCCTCATGAGGACATCTCCATGCTCCTCCCCATGGAGTTACCTCCAACCTCCTCCCTGTGGGTTTCACTTCATCCTCCCCATGGAGTTATCTCCATCCTCCTCCCCATGGATTTCATTTCATCATCTCCATGGGGTTATCTCCTTCCTCCTCCCCATGGGGTTATTTCCATCCACCCTTGCAGAAGCCCTCGTCCCCCCCGCCGCCATGCACAGGACATACCTCAGGGACTGGGACTGTCCCCGCCGGCCCGATGGCTCCGGGGTGCTGGGAGCGCTGGAGCCCGCCTGCCGGCACAGCACCAGGGTCCTGATGGGGACGAAGCGGTAGGGAGGGACGTCCCCCGCCCTGGGCGCTGGCGAGGCTGCGGGGTCAGGGCTGCTGGGGGCCGAGGGGGCAGTGGGGACGGCCGGCGGGGACCCAGGGTAGCACCGGGAACCCCGGGTTTCCCCATCCCCGGGTTCAACGCCAGGTTTTTTGGCCTTCTCGTAGGGTCTGTCGAGGCTGGTGTCCTGCCAGGGGCTGGGGGGGGCCGGCGGGGGCCCCGACACCTCCTCCTCAGCGGGTTCCTCGGGGGACGGGGACCCCCGTGGGGTGGCAGGTCCCGACGGCCGCGTCTCCTCTGCAGGAGAGACAGCAAGTTGGGATGGAGGGGACACCTGGGGGGCACTGTCCCCCCCACCCTGGTCCCCACAGCCCCCTTACCCTCCTCCAGCAGGACGGCGTCTGACAGGGAGCTGTCGTCGGAGGCGCTGAGCTCTGCGGGGCAGGGGACGGGTGAGAACGGTGCCGGTGCCGCCGGCGGGTGCCAAAACGCTCCCACGGCACCTGCCGCCACCCAGCGCGTCCCCGGAGGCCTCCGCTCCCCCTCTCCCACGCCGCCTGTCCCGACACGCTCCGGGACGGTGGCGGTACCGGCCAGGCCGGCTTTGCCGAGCTGCATTGCCGGCACTGCAGGCAGCTCCCAGCCTGCCCAGGCCGGGCAGGAGGAGGGGTGCTGGGCAGGTTTGGGGGCACCAGGAGGGAAGGAGCCACCATGTCCCTGGTCCTTAGGGGGTGATGGAGGGTGGTGAGGATGGAGCCGAGGCCAAGGTGCATGCAGGGGCGAGCGGGGACTCGCTTGGACAGCTGCCACCGGGATGGGGACATGGCAGCCAGGCCAAATCCTGCCACCTGTTGGGGGGCACTCACTGGGGCTGGCAGGTCAGGAGGCAGTCATGGGGTGCATTCAGCAGGGGTGAAGTATTGGGGTGCATTCATGGGGGTGCATACAGCAGGGATGGTGTATCAGGGTGCAATCAGCAGGGATGAAGTATTGGGGTGCATTCATGGGGGTGCAATCACTGGGGATGAAGCATTGGGGTGCATTCATGGAGGTGCATACAGCAGGGATGGTGTATCGGGGTGCATGCACTGGGGATGAAGTTCTGGGGTGCATTCACAAGGGTGCAACCACCAGAGATGAAGTATTGGGGTGCATTCAGGGGGGTGCAATCATTGGGGATGGTGTGTCAGGGTGCAGTCAGCAGGGATGAAGTATTGGGGTGCATTCAATGGGGATCACATATCAGGGTGCATTCATGAGGGTGCTTTCAACAGGGATGAAGTATTGGGGTGTGTTCACCGGTGTGCATCTATCGGGGAGAGCGTATTGGGGTGCCTTCACTGGGGGTGGGGGGATTGGGGTGCATTCACGGGAAGAGCATATTGGGGTACATGCACCAGGGATGGCATTTCAGGGGGCATCCAGGGGGGTGCATTCACAGGAGATGGGGAATTGGGGTGCATGCACTGGGGATGGGATATTGGGGTGCATCTGGGGGGTGCATTCACCAGGGATGGGAGATTGGGGTGCATGCATGGGGGATGGCGTATTGGGGTGCATCCAGTGGATTGCATTCACTGGGGATGGAGGATTGGGGTGCACATGCCAGGGATGGCACAGCGGGGTGCATTCACCAGGGACACCCAATCAAGCTGCACCCATTTCCAGCTCCCCGACTTCCAGCATCTCCCAAACGAGCCGCCACCAGCCGAGAGGGGTGCACACGGGAGGGCTCACCCTCGGCAGCACTGGTTCCACCGCCGGCAGGCAGGGGCCTTCGACCGGCCAGGAGCCGTCGCTGGTTGAGGATGTTCTCCAGGTCCTTCAGCTTCTGCTCCTCCAGCAGTGCCGCCGTCTGCCGGCGCTTGCGGAGCCGCTTGCTGATGTTCTCCTCTCGGCAGAGACGCTGGGCGGCCTTGGCGATCTGCAGCTGGAGCGCCAGGTCCCGCTCCAGGGCGCTCAGTGGGTCCTGGGGACGGAGGGGACACGCTCGGCACCCCACCACCCCCATCATACTTGCACGCTAACGAAGGCTTTGCCTAATGAGGGGGAATATGAATTTCTCCCACCATCCCGTGGTGGGTGATGCTTGGGCATCGCCAGCAGCTCCAGGATGGGACGGGATGGAGAGGGGTCCCCACTGCTCCCTCCCCCCCCGCTTGCACCCCAGGGAGCCCCTCACCGCCCCGCGCAGGACGAGGGTCTCATCCAGCTTGAAGGCAGCACCGATCCTGCGGTGGACCTTAGGGGGCTTCTCGCCAGCTTTCAGGGGGTACTCGCGGGGCAGTGTTCCCGTCAGCTCCTGGGGACGGCACGGGGACACTGAGCCACTGCCATGGAAGTGTGGGGGGGGGGGGGCGGGGCAGGGGGGCCCCCCCCAGCCCCGCTCACCGCCTCGCGTAGGCAGAGCCGCCGCAGCTCCTGCACGCAGCCCTCCAGCCGGGCTTCCAACGCCTGCTGCTGCCTGCGCCCTGCCTGCGCCCGCTCCTTCAGGGGTGACACAGGGCTGTCAGGGCCTGGGGATGGATGGATGGACGGATGGAGGGACGGGCAGGCAGATTCCTGCTGAGATGCACCCGGACGCCCCTCCCCCCACCTCCCTGCCTCAGTTTCCCCCAACCCCGGAAAGGGGAAAAAGCAGCCGTGAGCTCCCCCTGCTCCACACACCCCCCCCCAAGCAGCACCCATGGGTGCTCAGACTCCCCTGAGGCAGCCGTGATTTCCCAGCGGGGGGGGGGGGGACACGACACACGGGGAAGGTTTCGCCCTGACTCAGCCATCCCTGAGTGAAACCCGGCTGAGTCAAAGCCAGTCCAGGGCCCCCCCCCGCCACGCTTGGGTGCCCCCCCTGAAACCGGGGGAACCCCCCATTTCCTCAACAACACCCCCCCCCGAGGAGCTTTTGTGTGTCCCCAGGGTGGCCCCATGCACTGAAGTCCTCCGTTCTCAGCTGGGGGGGACATGCTCTAAGAGCACATATGGGGGATGGGGCACTCCAAGACCTTCCCCCCCCCAAAATACCCCCCCAGCGCTCACCCGAATGCAGCATGATCCCACTGTCGGTGTCGCTTGCCTCCCCCATGCCAGGCCGGGACCCTACGGGCAACAGCGGGGAGATGCCTTGTCCCCGTGCCACCCCCCAGGCAGCACCCATGTGTGCAGCCCTCCCCGCACTGCCCCCAACCCTCAGCATCACCCCGTCCTTCCCAGCCGCCGCCAGCTCCAGTGATGGCGGCGGGGGGAGGAAGGCGAGGCCGTGTTTGCTTTGCCTGCCTTCTTGTAGGTCCTACGATAAACAAAGGTGTGCAAACACGTGCGTGGCAGCCGGGGTTGCCTGGATGAGACCCATCCCGGGGGCAAAGGTGGTCGGGGTGCGGCGGGGGGGGGGGGCCGGGGGGGGCCTCGCTCCCGCCCCGGCTGGTTTCACTGGGCGCCTCTCCCAGTTTTGATTTCTTTTCCGTCTGGGCTGAAGGCAGCTGCCAGGCTGGGGGCGGCTGCCGGCCCTGGGAAAGCAGATCCCCCCCCAGCACCCCGACACCCCCCTGCTCTTGGGGGGGGTCAAACGGGTGGGAGAGGGGCAGGGGTGTTGCTCGCCCCTACTTTTGCATTGCTTTGGTGCCTGCCGAGCCTCAGTTTCCCCCAGACGTGGAGCGGCTTGGGGAAACTGAGGCAGGGAAGGGTGAGGGGTCCCGGGGGGTCGGCGGCGGGGCCGGCGGGCGATGCCTTACCTGGGCGCTCGCCGCCGCTGCCGGCTGTGCTGTGCCCGGGACACAGGGACGTGTTTTGACTTGAGGCGGAGGGGAGGAGCGGGTGAGCAAGACCTTCCCCGGCTGCCGCCGGCGGCAGCACCCGCGCCCGCGCCGCCCCACGCGCCCCGGCCTCCGCCCCACGACGGACGACGACGGTGAAGGCCTGCCTGCCTGCTTGGCATGGCACAGCACTGTATGGCACTGGGTGTGGTGGTGTGGCAAAGTAGTGTGGTGTGGTGTGGCACAGTATGGCATGGCACAGCACATTATGGCATGGCACGGCACAGTATGGCATGGTATGGTATAGCATGACATGGCACGACATGGCATGGTATGGCAGGACACGGCACAGTATGGTACAACATGGCATGGCACGGCACAGTATGGTATGGTGTGGCACGGCATGGTGTGGTATGGCACGGCATAGCACAGAGGTGCAACGTGGCACAGCATGGCATGGCACAGCATGGCACTGAGTGGCGTGGGGTGGCACCGTACAGCATGTGGCATGGAAGAGTATGGCAGGGGAAGGCACGGCATGACACAGCATGGCATGGAATGGCATAGTATGACATGGGACAGTACAGCATAGTGTGGTATGGTGTGGCACAGTATGGCACAACACAGTGCAACTTGGCATGGCTTGGCACAACTTGGCATAGCATGGCATGGCATGGCATAGCATGGTATGGTATGGTATGGTATGATATGGCATGGCATGGCATGGCATCGTATGGCATAGCGGGGCATATTATGATATGGGACAGTACAGCATGGTGTGGTATGGCGTGGCACACTATGGCACAACACGGTGCAACTTGGCACAGCATGGCACTGCCCGGCACAGCATGGCACAGCCTGGCACAGCACAGCCTGGCACGGCCTGGCCCACCATGGCACAGTGCCAGGTGGAGGCTCCATCCCCAGTGCCAGGCGGGGCCAGGCCAAGCGCAGGGACACCCTCCCTGTACCTGCCATGGCCCATGGCCGGGGGATCTCCCCTGGGGTTGGCGTCCCCAGAATGCCGGGGGCGGGCAGGGACCCAAGCCTGTCAGTGTGGGCAGGGTGGGAGGTTGGCGGTGCTGCCCTGGAACCCACGGGGAGCCAAGGCAGCCTGTCCTGTCCCTGTCCCTGTCGCCATCCCTGTCCTGTCCCTGTCCCAGGCAGGAGGTGACAGGCGAGGGTCAGAGCAGGGCAGTGCCAGGACGTGGGAACGGCACTGCCGCGGCCGCCGGTGCAGTGTGAGATGAATCAGGGCGGCTGGCACGGGTGAGTCGGCCACATCCTGCACTGCCGGCGTGGGGCAGCTGGTGGAAAGTGTGTCTCAGCCCCACGGGACGGTCCCACAGCCTGCGAGGACGGGGATGAGAGGGCAGGGTGCAGGCAAGGTGCACACAGGGGAGATGCAGGCAAGGGCTGCAGGCAGGAGAGGAGCAGCAAGCGTGCAGACAGCACAGGTGCAGGTGGGTGAGATGCAGGCAGGGATGCAGGCGGGAGAGGTGCGGCCAGGCTGCAGGCAGGGTGCAGGTGAGGGTGCAGGCAGGGAGCAGGCAGGAAGAGCTGCAAGCAGGGCAGGCACAGGCCAGGGGTGCAGGCAGGGTGCAGGGAGGAGAGGCGCAGCAAGCATGCAGACAGCAAAGCCAGCCCCAGGCAGATGCAGGCAGGAGTGCAGGCAGCAGCAGTGCCCTGCACCTCCACAAACTCCCCAAAACCTTCCCCTCCACCCACGGCTTCCCAATGTCCCTGAGTCCCTCTGTGATTGGGGGGGGGGGGAACGGACATGACACCCCGTCTTTGCCGCAGCCACCCCTTGCCCAACAGCACAAGGGGGGGGGGCAGGAAGCCCAGCAGCACCAGGAAAGGGCAGATTTGGAGTGGAAAGGGCAGATTTGGAGAAAAAAGGGTTTTTTTCTCAGTGTGGCCCCACGCCATGCAGAGCTGCTGGCAGCCCCCCTGGCACCGAGCCCCCCCTTCCCCCCAGCAGGCGGTAAAAACAGCTCGAAGACTAAAATACTTCGTTAGTGATAAGGCTAAATTTGTATTAATTGGGATTAAATTGGAATTAAAACCAGGTTCTTGCTCCTGAAGCCATCCCTTATGAAGAGCATCCCTGCGGGGGGCGATGGGGCAGAGGGGGTTTATCCTGGGGGCCAGATCCTGCCTCCACCGGGGCTGCGGGCAGAGCACAGGCCAGCAGCTCCCTCGGGAATCGCACCGGGATGGCTTGGACCCACATTTACTGCTGAGGACCAGGTGGGACAGGGGAGATGGGGGTGGCACCCGGGGACGCTGGGGAGGAGGGGGGAGGACTCACCCTGGGGTGGCCCCGCAGGACCCCCAGTGCCAGCTGGAGCTCAGTCCCGCTCCTGTGCTGGGGGCCGGTGGGGGTCTTGGTCCGGATCCGGCCACCGAAGAGGAGGCTGGAGTCGGTGGCGGAGGAGGGGGTGGCCGCGCCAGGACCCGTCCCCAGTGCGCGGGCACTGAAGGGACATTGGGGACGGCAGCGTCTGTCCATCAGGGCATAGACAAGGGGGTTGACGCAACTGTTAACGAAGGCCAGGCAGGTGCTGCCGGCCACCACCCACCTCAGGGCCACCTCCTGCCCCTGGGACAGGACCAGCGTCCCCTTGGCAAGGAAGAAGAGCAGCACCTTGCAGGCGTTGAGGGGCAACCAGGAGCAGAGGAAGGCTGCGACAATGGTGACGATGGCGCGGTGGGAACGCCGGACGCCCCTGCCCAGCCGGACGTGGCGCTGGAGCTGGCAGTAGATGGAGCAGTAGCAGAAGGAGATAACCCCCAAGGGCAGGAGGAAGGTGAGGAAGACCATGGCCAGGCTGAAGTCCTCTCCATCTTCATCCCAGCAGTCGTCCCCATCCAGCTGCCGGTACACCAGGGACGGGGCACCCAGGAGAAGGGACACGGTCCAGATGATGCCACAGGTGACATGGACGTGCCTCTGGGAACCCATCATCTTGGTGTCCAGTACCTTCCTGATGACCAGGTAGCGCTCCACGCTGAGGGCAGTGAGGAAGAGGATGCTGGAGCAGCGATTGACTGCGATGGCATAGCTGCTCACCTTGCAGAGCCCTTCACCAAGCAGCCAGCGGTTCCCCCGTGCCCCTGCCACCACCCAGAAGGGCAAGGTGCAGATGAAGATGACATCGGCCACCGCCAGGTTCAGCACAAAGGTGTCCACCATCCTCTTGCCCCCGCTCTTCTTGGCCATCAGGACGATGACGAAGAGGTTTCCCACGAGGCCGAGGAAGAAGATGAAGGAGTAGAGGATGGGGATGAAGACAGTGGTGAAGAAGACCTCCCACCTGGAGAAGACCTCCTGGTTCCCCGTCACATTGGTTACTGGTGGGTAATCGTAGTCGGCCGAGCTGGCAAGCTCCTCAGGAGCCATGGCAGTGGCCAGGTGCCCTCCCCGGTGCCCAGGGCGGTGCTCGCCGCGCCCAGCGGTTGGGTTGTTGATCTGAGCTCTGCTCAAAAACAACGTCTCACACTTCCTTTCCAACAGGGCAAGGGCTGTGGGGTGGAAGGGGCAGGAGGTGAAGCACGTTTAATTTTGGAAACAGAAAAAAAAAACACAACGAGAAGAAAGAAACCCCCAAAAAAGGAGTGGTGGAAAGGAAGACCGGGGGTGGGGTGGAGGAAGGCTTTGCGCCACCAGGTAATGGCTGAAGGCCTTGGGTGGACACCAGCCAGCATCTGGGCTGGTGGGACCACCAGAAACCGAGCCACTGGCTACCAACCCCCCCTGCAGCTCTTTCACCATGGCTGCCCTCCGTCCCCACTGCAAGCCGTCAACCCAAGCCAATGCCAACCCATCACTGTCCCCATCCCCGTCCCCATCCCCATCCCCAGCACATTTGCATCAAGAAAACCAGATGAAAGCCTTTATTTCATGGGTTTTTTTGTCAGAGAGAGATGGAGCAGGTGCAGGTCGGGGTGAGACCGTTGCCCGCCACCTCCCCATGCCGCCCCCGGCGCTGCCCCGCTCTGCCAGCTCATTCCAGCCCTTGGCACGTTGGTTCTCACCGCTTTGGGGACGCTGAGGCAGCGGTACCCACGGCCGCCCCCGACCACGAGCTCTCCCAGAATGACAGCGCCAGGTGCCGTTCCCAGCACTGGGATGTGCTGGAGATGGGGGGAGCCCGGTGTGCCGCCATGGGGGGGTCCAGGGGCAGCTGTCCCCCGCTCTGCCAGGCCAGCTCCTGCTCACGTCTGCCAGGCACCCGGCTCCGCCAGCTTCATCTTCCTCAGGCTGTCCCGCACCAGAAGGAACTCGGGGCGAGGGCCCGGATCTGGCCCCGCTGCTGCCTCCCGCTCGTGCTGCGGTAAGTGGGGCCCAGGAGGGACGGCCATGGGTCCCGGTGTGGGTCCCCTCGACTGTCCCCACAACCCAGCCGTCTCCTGACCTGGGTGTCCCGTCAAACCAGGCTCCATCAGCCGTCCCTAAGATCTGGTCACCCTTGACCATCTCTTGACCCGTCCTTCCAACCCAGCCTCCCTCAGCCACCCCCCAAGTCCAGCCTCCCCCGGCCGTTCCTCAACCCAGCCGTCCCAACAGCCTGGCCATCACCCAGCTGTCCCCATGGTGTGGCCTCCCTTGGCCAAACCCCAAATCCGTGGGGCAGTGAGGAATGGATGGGGGCTGGACGGAGCGGAGTGGGTGGATGGGGGAGGTGGATGGACAGATGGATACATGGATGGGTGGATGGATGGATGGATGGACGCATGTGTGCATGAAGGGAAGAAAGGATGGGTGGATGGATGGACAGATGTATGCATGCATGAAGGGAGGAAGGGATGGACGGATGGATGGATGGGTGGATGGATGGACGGACATATGCATGCATGAAGGGAGGAAGGAATGGATGGATGGTGGCACAGGTGGATGAATGCATGGATGGATGGGAGGATGGAGGGAGGGATGAAGGGTGGATGGATGGAGGGATGGATGGATGGATGGATGGAGGAGGGTGAGGTGAAGGCAGGAGGTCTGGGCTGAATGTAGGGATGGACGGCTGGCATGGAAGGATGGGGGACAGAGGGACGGCACAGACCTCCTCAAGCCTCTGGTGGCGTTTCCTCAGCTGCTGCTCCAGGTCGGAGGGGGGTCCCTGCAGCTCCTCCCTCAGCTGCCTTAGCCGCCGGCTCTCCAGCACCCGCGGGAGCTCGGCCCTGTGCCGGGGCAGGATCCCCCTGCAGGGACAGACAGATGGACTTCAATGGGGCCACCCCCACCTGGCCACCCAGCTGGGGACTGTCCTGTCCCCATGCCCCGGGTCCCATCCCTGCTCACCTGCTGTGGCTGAAGAGCAGCTCCCGGTGCAGCTCCCGGTGGCTCTGGGACTCCCGTACTGGGTTTGGCACCTTCCTGGGCTGGATGAGGCCCCTGTGGCCATTGGTGGCCATGTCCGGGGAGAGGACATCACTCCCGTCACCCTCTGGAGGGGTAGCAGGGGTCACAGGGGGATGACGTCACCATGGGATGGGTCACCAGGGAATGGGTCACCAGGAGGGCTGTGGTCACCCATGGGAGAGGGTCACCGGGGACAGGGTCATTGGGGTGTGGGGTTACCACGAGGGATGGGACAACCTGGGACAGGGTCACCAGGGAATGGGGTGACGCTGTCTGGGTCCCTCACCTGGAGCCACATGCCAGCACAGGGCAAGATCCTGGACACCAGCCCCCACGTCCCCCAGCCTGGGGGTCTTGGGGTGTCACAGCCTGGGGTCCCCACACGCTGTCCCCCAGCAACAGGCACCCTCCAGGATCCCGTGCCCAAGTGTCCTTGTCCCTGTCCCCAGGCCTCCCTATGGTCCCCATATTCTCCCATTATCCCTTGGGGTCCCCATTGTCCCTTGGGGTCTTCATTATCCCTGGGGTCCCCACTGCCCATTGGGTGCCCATCACCCCTCAGGTCCCCATCACCCCACAGGTCCCCATTGCCCACAGGGTCCCCATTCCCCTGGGCCCCACAGCCCCGGCCCCGTGCCATGGTGCCGGCAGCACCCACCCAGCACCGCGCTGCTCCTCGGGGCTTTGTCGTCACCCTGGCAAAGGCAAAGAGCAGGGTCAGAGAGGGACACTCGGCGGGTCCCTGGCTCCAGGTCCTCCCCAGGCTGGGGACAGAGCCAGGTCCCTGCTCGTCACCCCCATCCTCCCTAGCACAGGATGGGGCACAGCCATGGGTTCTCCAGGGCTGGACATCCTCTCTCCATCCATGGCTGTCACCCATGGGGACCAAGTCACCCCCCGGTGTCCCTCCCCCCCGGGACCTCAGGGCTGGCTGTGGTGGGAGGGAGAGGAGAATGGATATCCACCATGTTAACTCTGGAACCTAAGGATGGCAAGGGGTCCCCAGGCTGAATGCCAGGGGTAGGAACATGGAGAGAGCCAGATGTTTTCCCTGGGGAAATGTCTTAGGGTGGCCCCGTTGTCCCGTCCCACCCCCAGCACGGGAGATGGAGGGCCCAGCCCAGGGCTCGGGGGTGGCCCAGCTGCCACCACTCACCCTCTTGCTCTGCGACAGCCCCATGTCCCCAGTGCTGGTGGTCGTTGTCCCCACGCCTTGGGAGGCCAGGGACGCAGGGACATGGGCCGGGTGCTGGCTCCACTGAGCCTGGCTGTTCTCTCCGTGTGCTCCACCGGTGACGGTGACAGTGACGGCAGCCCCACTCCTATCAGCAAAAGCCATTAAGCCCTGGGATTAGCCCTGACGGGGCTGAGAAGACGGTGACACATGTCCTGCGCAAGGCTGGTGGCACCGTGCCCGCTGCCACTGCTGGGGGCACTGGTCTCACTGGGGGCACTGGGATCTGCTGGGGGCACTGGTCCCACTTGGTTGTAAGGGTTATTGGGGGGGCTGGGGAAACTGGGTTGGGGACTGGGTGCAGTGGGGATTATGGGGGGTGCTGGGAGTTAGTGGGTGCACTGGGGGTCATTTGAGAGACAGGGTTTGTGGGGGAGACTGGGATGGTGATTGGGTGGCACACGGAGTTACTGGAGACTGGGGATTACTGGACGGACTGGGATACTGGGGGCACTGGGGGTTATTGGGGGACCCTGGTTACTGGGGGGACTGGTGGTTACTGGGAGAGCTGGGATGGGGACTGGGTGCTCTGGGGGCCATGGGGGGTTATGGGGACACTGGGAGTTACTGGGGAGCCTGGGGGTCACTGGGGGCTGGGATGGGGACTGGTTGCACTGCAGAGTTACTGGGAGGACTGGGTGTTACTGGGGGACAGGGTGCACAGGGTGAGCGCACTGGATACACTGGTAGTTCCTGGGCGCACTGGGGGTAAGCGGGGCCCGGGTCCACTGAGGCTGGTGGGGCGAGTACTGGGCGATACTGGTGTGGCCCCCCCACCATAGGCACTCGATTGAGGCCGCCTGCTCCCGCAGGCCGGCTCGATTTCCCCGCCTGGCGGTTCGGCCGTCGGCTGGCCGCGCCTGGCCCCATCGGCGCGCGACTGGCCGCGCCTGCGGATTCCGGTGTCGCGTT